CACCTGAAAGTTGTGGGTAATTAGGCAAACATGTTATTTATTCAATCTGATATCTCACACGTGACGGACCAAGGTTTAGCGAGGTTTTGAAATTCATAAACTCAATTATTTATGTGCGCGTGAGTATAAATTTGGTATAAACTCTACTTGCATCAACGATAAAAAGTTATTCACGTTCGCGTAGAATAATGAATGTCAGCACTCCTCTATTCTAATTAGCCTAGGAGATTTCAATGGTTTCCTTTTGAGGTCATTGTTGTTTGTTGATCAAACATTTTTCAAAGGTACAGTTTGTTAGGATGGTCATTAACTTCATCCCTAATCAACCAACTTCTCAGTTTGGTTTGTCTAAAATATTTTACATTCGCCAAAATTGGATTCTTAAGAGACATTACAGATAATAAATAATAGCGCCAGGAAAAAGAATAGGTGCTTTTTCAACTTGCATATGATCAGATTCAATCATGTACGCGTGTAAATATACATAGTAATATCAGTCACGTATGCATGCGCACGTTGGTTTCAGTCGTTTATGCTTATGAAGTTCTTGATATGGATCAACTATCATACTAACTTTGGACAACCGACTGTATTATCTCCTCATTATATGAAGTTCAAATGATTATATCATTTTGCTTTTATGGTTATTGGTCGATACTTGGCATCTTCGCTTTATGGTTTTGGGCAGGTGAGGTCGGGGAGGGTCCTATGCAATTTGGACGGACATGGGACACCGAAGATAGCAAATTGTACGGTTGGGGGCCTTTTTTCAAGCTTTAGAAATTAGTAGAATCTAACGTGGTCGAGACAAGCAAATCCATAACAATAATAATATTGGACTTACGGATTTCAATCAGTCCCATCAACTTTGCGCATGTGGAACACGGCTTTCACTGTTATTGTGACATTCAGTTATTTATAAATGACTTTGTATTGTGATTGTAGTAGCGGCTCAAGATGTTCGTATGGTGGTGATAAATATGTTTCATAAAAGTTTATATTTGTGATTTTACAAATATCTTGTAATATGATGATTATACCGTTGCATGATATGATATTTTAAAAAAATCTCATGATAATATGAGATGACTGAATTGACAACTCCACTAATAAAACCTTGTGGTTTGGTCTGTGGTGGTTACGAGGTTGGGAATCTAATTACACAAGGTGTTGACTGTTGCGTGCAACGCCCATCAGTCATCTCCAATGCCCCCCAACTTTTCTCCTTCATTCATGCGAACAAGGCATTTATATTGGTCAAGTATATACTCATTAGCCTTCCCTAATTTGCAGCAGTGGTGCTGTTCCAGTATTTCTGCACTCTATCAATAGTCAATACCCTAATTCACACCTAACCCAATAACCCCACTTTGTCAATATTCACACCTAAATCAATAACCCCACATTTCTTTAAAAGATAGAATCCAAGTCAACAAGGTTTTCTGTTTTGCAAGGATCAGGAGAAATGTTTATAGTGCACAACTTTACCTTTACTCTGTAAAGAAACTATTTTCACGACTCAAACTCGTAACCTTTTAATTACAAAAAAAAAAACAATTTTTCCGTTGCGTCAAAGCTCGCACTCTTAATTTTATTGTATTTTTAACACGATTGTCGTTGTAATACTTTCCTGTAAGACACTTAAATCAGCTACATAATAACTTACTTGTAATGGGTTTCATTTGTGCTATATTTTTACAAGAAGAGATCCTCTCTTGGTCTCTTCCACCAAGGCTACCAGATCAAGTGATCCGAGTATTTGAAATTTCATTCAACAGTAAAAAATTATTATAGCTTTTAAGGGATCAAAACATGTGGGCCGTTGAATGAAATTTCAAAGGCTCGAATTACTTCATCCGGTGGCCTTGGTGGAAGAGATCCAGAGAGGATCTCTTTTATATTTTTACATGAAACAAGCAAGCAAAAGATGGCACATTCTTGTAAGAATTGAGTGAGGATCCTCGCTGGATCCTCATTGTGAGAATTTCAGAAATCCTCAAATCACATCCGTTCATCATACATCGTGAGGTCAGAAATCATTGTTAATTTTTTTTTTTATTTAAAATTGAATACAAACAGCATCTGACGAAAACTGACCATACGATATACAATAAACAGATATGATTGGAAGATTTTCGAGATTCTCACGAAGAGAATCCAACGAGGATCCTTCCTCGTAAGAATTGGGGAAGGTTTTATTTTATTTTCAATGGAACCACAAAAGGTAAAGTATTTCATCAAATACACTGTTACGTAACAATTATTTGAATGGAACTTACCAAAGTGATGATTACTATTCTCTTGTCTTGTCATGTCATGTGTCCTTGTGTGTGTCTAATATATTAATTTATAGTTGAATATTGACTTGTGCTTAAACAAGCATCATAATCACATCTAGTGTGGAGCAATCACAATTATAATTATAAATAAATATATATATATATATATATATATATATATATAGGAAACTGTTTTAGCATTTGAACATTGACTTGTGCTTATTCATGTCCATAAGCATCATAATCACATCTTCTATGGAGCAATCACATTTATAATTATATATATAGGAGACTGTATTAGCATTTGAACATTGACTTGTGCTTATTCATGTCCATAAGCATCATAATCATCTTCTATGGAGTAATCACAATTATATATATATATATAGGAGACTGTATTAGCATTTGAACATTGACTTGTGCTTATACCGGTCTATAAGCAAGGAATTGTATTAGCACTTTAAAATTTTCATTTTGCATTTTTTACAAATATATTTTTCTTTTTATTTGTTGATTTTCTTCAATACATTTGATTCGACAATTGAAAATTGAAAAGGGTGTGTAAAAAGTAAAAGATGATGTGTAGATAATACCATCATTTCTAATAATTAATGTGTGCGTATAAATTTTATCACTGTATGATGTTTCTTCTCTCAAAAGTTGCCCCCTAACTCAAAAGTTGTCATCTTATAAATCTCTATTATGAATTGTTTGATGTTAATGCATACGGGAGGTGAATTTGATTATAAATGTTTATTATGCGTTAACATTCAGTAGTCAAAAGATATTAAGTTTAAAAGAAGAAATTTAAGGATTGGAATATTTTTGGGTTGTTGTGCTTAATTTGCAGAGATCTAAGAAAAACCAAAAAAGACATTGATTAACCAGGTGCATCAAAATCAAACCCACAAATGAAATTTTCCATGGATAGAAAATCAATCGTAGAAACAGGGTGAGAGGGAAAGGCTTGGTTGACAGTGAGGAAGAGAGGAGAGAGTTCTCGTTGGCAAAGTGGTCAATAGTGGTAGTATAAACAACGCCAAGAAGTACTTCTCCTTCTTTTGGGTTTTGGTTCACCGTTTACCTTGTCCTTATTTTTACATATGCATTTTTTAAACCACGTCAGCATATTTGATGACTTTTGAACGGAATTAACAGAATTAAAGTAATGTGGAGCAAATTTGAAGTTTCATGGTGTACAATGACGACTTTTGAATTTCAGGGGACAAAGTAGGATACAAATAGAGCGTATTTGACAGAAGAAACAAAAACATGGTAAAGTAGAGCAAATTTTGAGTTTCAAAGAGTAAAGTGATAACTTTTAAGTTACAAAAGGTAAAGTGGAATCAAAATCGAGTTTTACGGACATAACTAAAAATAAACCCTATTATATATATATATATATATATATATGTTTTGTCGAAGTTTTATCTTTATATTTGGCTTTGTACACCTTCTATTTTCCTTTTTCCTATACTAAAAAAAAGAATTACAATTTTTGCACAAGTTTATTCATATGCATGCACGGTTCCTGAATACAAGTTTGTGAAGAAAAACAAGCATCATCATTGTGTAAATGCTCAAGAGGTACTTAAACACAAACACATACATATAAGTTTTACAAGAATAACTAAGTTGTTAATTTATGTTGTGATAAAGTACTTAAAGAATAACTAAGTTGTTAATTTATGTTGTGATAGAGTACCCAAAGGCACTCCGTGCGAGCACATATTTGCCCGTTCGATTTATTCCAACGGCTAAAACTAAGTGACTGCGGACTGTTGGATCATATCCACTTGTGTGTTAGCATTGAGTGCCTGTAGGTATTCAAGAAAACAGGCCATACCAAACCAGTCTGAGTGATTCGATTCGGCTTTCACACTGAAAATATTCGGTTAACTGTCTATGTAGTGGCACTAAAAGATAAAACTTAAATCGGTAGAAAATATAATAATAAGGATTGAACAGCAACATTGAAGTTTCTATGGGAAATGGACAGTGCTAGAACCAACTTCAAACAGAGCTTAATGTACCAATTGAATACAAAAGATCTACAGAGTCCCTTATTCACCTTAAACCGAGCATATGCTACTGCGGAAAAGGGATAATGCTAACATACAGCGACTACGTATCTTAACTGAATAAGTTCATACCTGTATAGACTGGGTCACTAACGCTTCAAGTACTAGCAATTTTTCTCTTTTTTCAGTACAAAGTACTAATAAATCTTTATATTCTGTATCATTCAAAAAGCAAGCACATGGGAAAACATAAAACATGAACATGGTAAGGAGTAACTTTTATTTGTAGAACGCCATCTCCGAGTATAACTAGGGGTCATTTCACCTTCCACGACCATTTACTCTTACGACCTAAATGTGCTAGCTAACTAGCAACTCTTATACTAAAATCTCGGTTAGAAGCTAAGATACCAGCAGGTACATAGCTCAAATCTTGAAGAACATCCAAGGTTTCAGTCAGGAACTCAAACCCGAAAAAAGCTTAGTTATACAATAAATACCTGTAAACAACTCAGAATCTAGCTAGAAAAATAACTGAGGTTTAGGTCAAGACTCTAGACACAAGAGCACAAGTCCAGAAAAGAAAAAAAAAACATTCAAATTAACATAACAAATGAAGGAACTGAAGATCACCATTGTTGGCCATATGATTAAGATGGTAGCATAACTTAACATCGGCACGGCAGCATAAACAGAGACATAATCCACAAGTGGTGTTTCATTTATGATGCTTATAAATCCCAATCATATCATCAGTCGTCAATCGTCATACAATTATCAAATGTGGCATCACACCTCCAAGTGATGCTACATTTAGACAACTTTCAAATAGAACAGAATCATCCGGCTCAATCTTTCACAAGCAAATACTAAAACGGTAAAACCTCATCTTCTATTACAGAACCAATAGATTACAGAAACATAATTTCAAGTTTCATTATTCAATAACAATGCAACAGATCACGAAATTCAGAGCAAAATGGCGATTACCCGGGAATTTCATAAAGCTCGAAACCATATGAGCTGAGCCTCCTCAATTTCTGCTACAAGACCCCCTTGGCCTCCATGTACCTCCACATGTACCAAGAACCAACAGACCTATAAGGCCTCCATTTCTCACACAGCTCGTCCATCTCCAACGGCTTCGGCAACTCCTTCAACCCATACAACAACTTCACTCCTTTCCTCACGCCGAGATCGCCAACCGGAAGCACGTCCGGCCGGCGAAGCGAGAAAATCATGAACATGTGGACCGACCAAACCCCAATTCCCTTCACCAGAGTCAGCATTCTGAGCAGAGCCTCATCGTCCATTTCGAGAATCGATGAATCGGACAAAGTTCCATCGCTGTACTTCTCGGCCAGGTCGTGAAGATACGAAGCTTTTCGGCCCGAGATTCCGATTGTCCTGAGCTGCTGGGCCGAGAGCGACAAAACGACGTCGGCAACCACCGAGGCCTCGCCGCCGCAGAGCGAAATGAACCGGGTGTAGATCGATTGGGCGGCTTTGGTGGCGAGTTGCTGGTAAAGAATGCTTCTTGCAAGGGATATGAAAGGTGGACGGCTGGAATCGAAGGACGGCGGGGTGTAGGAGTCGATCAGGGCCCTTAAATTCGGGTCGGAGCTCCGCAAGTGTTGGAGGGCGAGGTTGATTTCGGTTTGGGAGGTTAGTGGGATTAGGGCTTTGGGGAGCGCGGGGGAGGAGGGAGAGGGCTTGGCGGAGGCGGGGGTGTTGGATACTTTTAAGATTTTGCGGGGTCGGAATGGGATTTTGGAGGAGATGGAAGGGTTTTCGGAAATTTGGTTTTGTATTTGCGGTTTCGCTCGCTTGGCCATTACGGTAGCGATGATGGTGGTACCGGTGAATCAGTAACAATCTGCGCAGCTGTTCCAGGAATCGACTTTATGTAAACTCTCCAAGGAATTTAACCTTGAGCTTGGACCCAGGTTGGGGAATGGTTGTAAGCCTGTTAGAACAGTCAAGGACTGCTTAAGCCCAATCGATAATTTGGTATAATCACCTATATGAGTCGAATCTGATACATTTAACTTATAAATGAAGAGTAACATTAGTAGATCATAATGCCGTCGGAGACCCTATCGGTAAATACTTAAAATGAATCATTTAGTTTTTCGCATATATCTTTCTTTCGTTTGGTTAAAAACTAAATAATCATCAAACAGAAACATGGCTGACGAAGTTCTCAAATGAAAATTCCCTTGCACAGATATACATTTCACCTTAAATTTATTCAAATTGCATGATTAATTTTAAGCAGATAGAAGGATTCAACAATACGATTGTCTTCTACATTACTTGCAACAAAAAGGCAGGGAATTAATACATGCAGAAAATAGTACATACATACATACATACATATATAGTAGGAGTGAGGTATCACTGTCACTTTTTTTGGGCTCCGTCCTCTTCTTGCTGCAGGGAAGCAAGAAATCGCTTGAGACGCCTGTTGTAGACACAAGGTCGTTCCAAATGAACCAAGTGGCCTGCCTTCTTTATGCCTTCAAACGTTGCATTTGCTCCTAGTTGCCTGCACATAAATAAACAATCTATCATAATTATAATCGATAGTAAATACGGTTTACGTCAAACAAATAATTTCATGCAGAAGTTTACGTACGTCAATAAAATTCATTATCCCCAAACAAATTAATCTTAATTAATTAGTGCCTTATGTCATTAAACCTACTCTTTCATGTTGTGGGCAAGCTCCTGGTTGAATATCTGATCATTTTCACCCCATAACAGATGTATTCTCTGCAAAAATATGAAAGAAACATGAAAAGTTAATGGTATCAATTTTGGAGGAGAAATTAAAATATTAAAATTGTAGGTTTGATTAATTTACCTGTGGGAATTTAGGTATGGTTGTGTCCTTTGCATCATTGACTACAGCTTCAAGGAGTTCTGACCTCTCCTTCCTGTGGGCGAACATCACCTGTAAATTGTGTTGGAAAATTTAATAATAATATTATTATATTAAATTTATTAATTGAATGGAAATTAGAAGTAGATCTTTTGGTAGAACGATATGTCTACTTAAATAAAGTGTTACAATTTTTTACTCTTCATGAATAATCACATGTTTTCTAAACAGATATCTCACATTCTATAAATAGGGAATGCCCGTATAAACACAAAATAACTTTTCATTGTTTTACATAATCATACTTATAGTGCACTAAATATTAGGGTCTCATTGAGTCCATATGAGAGAGTTTTCAACACAATCGTGGTTCATGGAGCCTTGTGATTTGGAGTGCTACTATTACAAGGACATGGTCGTTGTATCTTGGAAGATATGTGACGATCAACCATAAGTACCGTAGTGGGGCGTAAACTTGTCTTAAGGACAAAGTGTCCAACATTTGCCTCGACCGTATTTTCTAGGTTTTTCTAATCCATTATATCAAGTTCATTTAACATTGGTTACTCATGTGCATGCATTATTGTGATATATAATTGCATAAATTATTTCTTGATTTTCTATGTGATTTATTATAGCAATTAGACCCAAGTTTTCCAACAATATTAAGACAAGTTTACGGTTTGATTGCTATGTTTATTTGAGAATTAAATGATGCGTGATATAATAATGCTTGGTCCTAGAGGCATAATTTCTTCTTGTTTAATTTTGTGAGAGAATGGTATGCTATCTAATCTTTTGCATAAAACTATGATTTTGTTTCCATATAGTCATGTCAAATTTATTTTGTTTGGTTGCTACATTAATTGGTGCATGATTCGGCTGTAGACAAAATATTTTCCGATCACATATTATTTCGAAGAACATGACAGTTATGTGTTAATTCTTGTGTTTGATATATTTGTTCTTTTCTCACTTGGTGCCTGTTTCCTTCCATTTTCAGTATATCCAAATATGAGTTACAAAATGCAAACTTTAAAAACAAAATGATCATTTTATTGTGATTAAATTCGTGTTCTGTATGAGAATTTATGAACTAGAAATCTGGGTATTAAAATCCAGTGCATTCTTCTATACGAGTCGCACCATTTGATAATGGGACCTCTTGATTAGAAGTGAATGGATGAACCATTTTGACATGGCAGAATTGGTCTGCAGAATCTGGAAGTATCGTACTTCCAGATAAAAGAGTTTGGCATTTGAATCAAAGACCAAAGATTGTCTGAGGGGATGCAAGCATACGCCAAAGTCTGAGTAACTCTTAGTGAAGAGTTGTGACTCAAAACACAAGTGGTGGTTAGCAAAAGGATGCAACCGTTTGACAATTCCATATACATGTTCCCATAGGAATTTTGGAAAAATTATGTGTGCGTTAGTGCGAAGTTTTGGAATAAGAGCATATTTACAGGACTGTGGTGTCTCGACATGCTGATGCAAATTCATGTACTATAAGAATTGCTAGGTTTGGTATGCTATCAAACTTCACTTATTCATTCTTCTAACGTAGTGCAAATGGTGAAATAATACAAAACGTTGAAGAATTGCATCAAGCTTTTCTCCATGATAGTGTGGTGGTTTAATCTTGTATATTTTCATATATTTTAAACGGTTATATGGACATGATTCATTCATTTGTACAGTTGTCCAAATTTAAAAGAAATGAGCTATATTGTGGACACTAAAAGTATTTGAGTAAGTGTAGAAAGGCATTTGTCATTTTTATGACTATTTGTATTAAATACATTACAAATGTATTTGAAATGTGTTTACAAGGCATTATCCATGAGAACTTGGAGAGTTCAAAGTGCAAGGAAATATGAAGGTGCCTCTAAAATAAAGTGTCAAGTTCTCCTAATTAGAAGGGCTGGTGAGGTTAAAAGGCTTGGCAAGTGAAGATATATAGACAGAGAACTTATCTTTCACATATTCTTACTTCTTAAAGTATGAAAGTGAATTATTAATAGCATTAAAGCAACCGCAATGTGTGTGAATTGTGGGGGAGTGGCTTAGCTAATTTTGAGAATGAAAGATACTTGAAAAGAATGTAAAAGTAATTTGCTTCTAGAAAGAGATCACGATTACACTTATAATTGAATTTTTAAGGTATTGAAAGGTTGGAGATCTTCTAGCAAATACCTTAAATGTGGGGGAATGTACCCGAGTATTAGCAAATTACTTTGAAAGTCCTAATGTATGTTTTGAAGACTTAACATTGGAAAACAACTACTCTCGAAGGAAATAATTTCCATGCATGGATATAGGGTTTGTGATAGCCATATAATATGAGTAGTCAACCTAGTGGTACCAATTTTTAAAGGTTTGACTAGAGAGTAAGTTGTATTATCGAGGGGAATGGGTTAAATAAAGCCTACGTCTTAAGAATCGCCATAATGGCAACCCAACCTAGCTAACTGGAGATCCCAAGATTTAGGTTCAAAGGGACATCCGAATTGTGGATGATTCAATGGGAGCACTACAGAGATAATCTCCTACCCATGTCCTATGATGAAACAGTGTTATCTGCAACGTATTTAGGATAAGCTTTGTTTTTAATGATTCCTATACTTGGAAATAACAAGTAGGTTATTGCATGATAATTTTAATAGGAAGTCACCTACCTTGAGTGAGGAATGAGGTCATTCCTGTGATAATTTTTTTAAGAGCTTAGTTCTCTAAAAGCAATCATGAGAAACCAAGAATTGTTCAGGGCCAAAATGAACACAACCGAGCAACCACGGGATGTCTAGAAGGGTATTGTGTGATTACTATTGACTTGGTTTACACAATGGCTGAACAGTTCAAAACATCGCGTTCACTGATTAACCAAGTAAATCCAATAGTAATTCACTACGGAAGGTTCAAAGCCAAAAGCCACATATCCCGATGTGGTACTTTTCCTATTGAATTCTCTCTCTAGTATCTGCATTGTCATTTGCATGGTATTGAGTCAATTTCCATTCATGTGGGGGATTGTTGGAAAATTTAATAATAATATTATCATATTAAATTTATTAGTTGAATGGAAATTAGAAGTAGAGCCTTTTGGCAGAAAGATAAGTCTACTTAAATGAAGTGTTGCAACTTTTGACTTCATTAATATTCACATGCTTTCCAAAGAGGTATCTCACATTCTATAAATAGGGAAGCCCCCTATAAACATAAAATAACTTTTCATTGTTTTACATAATTATACTTATAGTGCACTAAATATTAGAGAGTTTCATTGAGTCCATATGAGAGAGTTTTCAACACAATCGTGGTTCATGGAGCCTTGTGATTTGGAGTGCTACTATTACAAGGACGTGATCGTTATATCTTGGGAGATATGCGCCGATCAACCATGAGCACCGTAGTGGGCGTAAACTTATCTTAAGAACAAAGTGTCCAACACTTACCTCGACCGTATTTTCTAGGTTTTTCTAATTCATTATATCACTTTCATTTAATATTGGTTACTCATGTGCATACATTATTATGATATATAATTGTATGAATTATTTATTGATTTTCTATGTGATTTATTATGGCAATTAGACCCAAATTTTCTGACAAATTGTCCCTTCCATGCATTATCAGTTCTAATCTTTAAGTTGAGTGTGACAGTCACAGTGCCACTTAATGTAAAAATATCGAATTAACTGCTTGTTTAAACGCAAAGATAAGTAAAATATCAATACCTCAAGGAAGTCCTTGTGAAGCCGATCAGGAAAATACAGCTTCTTGTGAGTAGCAACAGACAGCAGAGCCTTGAGCCCTTTCACCGAGCTCGGCAGCAGAAGCTCCGACGACGACGAGAACCCGAGCCTCTCCATGAGAGCGTCGCGGTACGAGCGAGTCATGCCCAGGATCGAACCGGACGCTACCATGGACCCCACCAGGTCCGGGTACAGCTCGGCCAGCTTAAACGCCACCATCCCGCCGTAACTAAACCCAACCACCACGCACCTCTCCACCCGAGCTTCTTCAACCCCGCAGCCACACACTCCGCTTGGAACGTCTGCGAGCGGTC